TCAACACAAACAGTGAAGTCAAGAAGAGCATGGAGCGAAGTATTTCAGATCCTAAAAGAAAATGACTTCTAACCCAGACTGATATACCCTGAAAAGCTGTCCTTCAAAATGGATGGAGAAATAAGATACTTCCATGACAAAGAACAGCTGAAGAACTTCATAAATACCAAACTAACCTGGAAAAGAATACTGAAACACATTCTAGATACACATAGGAAAAGACTACTAAGCAATATTTACCTCGATATGATAAAGAACACCTATGACATACCAATTAAACAGAATAGAAAGGTAAAGATACAACAGCAGAAAGAAAACATGTCAACAATAAAGCAGTATAGAACAGCTATAACCATTAATGTAAATGGAATCAATTCATCCATTGAAAGAAACAGACTGGCAGAATGGATTAAGAAACAACATCAAACCAAACTCTGTCCACAAGAAACCCATCTAACCCAAAAGGAAACTCATAGACTGAAAGTCAAAGGATGGAAAACAATACTTCATGCAACAGGAATTTAAAAAATTGGGTGTAACTATTCTATTTGCAGACAATGTGAACTTGAAACCAAGAATAATCCAAAGAGATAAAGAAGGTCACTACATAGTAGTTTGGGGAAAACTTCAAGAGGAAGAGATAACAATCTTAAATATACATGCACCAAATTCCAGAACACCTAGCTATACAAAGCAAATATTAACAGAAATGAAAAATCAAATAAGTAATAACACAATTATGACAGGAGACCTTAACACACCCTTGGCACTAAGGGAGAGATCAACCAGACAGAAAATCAGCAAACAAATAACAGAACTGAATCATAGCTGTGAACAAATGGATTTGATAAACGTATACAGTGTTCCATTCAACAACATCAGAACACATATTCTTATCAGCCGTACATGGGGCATTCTTTAAAAGAGACCATATACTAGCCCATGGAACATATCTAAGTAAATGCAAAGGAGTTGAAATTATCCCATGCATTTTATCAAATCATAGGACAATGAAACTAGAAATTAATGATAAAAGAAATGGCAAAAATCCCCCAAACACATGGAAATTGAATAATACACTCTTGAGCATTCAGTGAGTCACAAAGGAAATTAAAAGAGAAATTAAACAATACCTACAAGCAAATGAAAATATAAATACAACTTACCAGAATCTGTGTGATGCAATGAAAGCAGCCCTCAGAGAAAAATTACACTGAGCTCCCACATCGGGACTATAGAACAAAAACAAGCAACTTGATGCTACACCTCAAACATCTAGAAAAAGAAGAGCAAGTCAAGCTCAAAGCCATAAGAATGGAGTAAATCATAAAAATCAGAGCAGAAATTAATGCAATAGAGACTAAGAAAACAATATAAAGAATCAATGAATCAAAGAGTTGGTTCTTTGAAAGAATAAATAAAATTGATAATCCACTAACCAAACTTTTTTTAAAAAAGGAAAGAAAAAACTCAAATTCATGCAATAAGGAATGAAAAAGGTGAAGTCACTGTAGACTGCAGAAACACAAAAGATTATTAACACCTATTTCAAAAACCTCTACTTTCATAGGTTCGATGACACAGAAGATATAGACAGATTCCTAGAAACATATAAACTACCAAAGCTGGGTCAAGAAGATGTCAAACTGCTGAATAACCCAAATTCAATTAATGAAATTGAAAACATAATTAAGTCCTTACCTACAAAGAAGAGCCCAGGCCCACGTGGATTCACTGTGGAATCCTACAAGAAATACAATGAAGACTTAATGCCAACACTCCTCAAACTCCTCAATGAAATCAAAAGGAAAGCAATTCTTCCCAAGTCATTCCTGGAAGCAACTGTTACCCTACTACCAAAATCTGAGAAGGACCCAACTAAAAAAGATCTTCCTAAAGAACATAGATGCAAAAATCCTCATTAAGATATTGGCAAACAGGATACAGCAAATCATCAAGAAGATTACACACCATGACCAAGTGGGATGCATCCCATCCATGCAGGGATGGTTCAACAAACATAAATCAATAAATGTAATCCTCCATATCAATAGAGCCAAAAGTAACAATCACATGATCATTTCTATAGATGCAGAAAAGCTTTTGATAAGATCCAACACTTATCCATGATAAGAATCTTACAGAAAATTGGAATAAGATGGTCTTTACATCAGTATGATAAAAGACATCAATGACATACCAAGAGCCAGAATCATATTAAATGGCAAAGAACTGAAGGCCTTTACCTTAAAATCAGGTACAAGACAAGGATGTCCCTCATCACCGCTCCTATTTAACATAGTACTGGAAATACTAGCCAGAGCAATTAGACAAGAGAGAGAAATAAAAGGAGTAAACATAGGAAAAGAGGAAGTTAAATTATCATTATTTGCAGATGACATGATACTCTACACAGAAGACCCCCAAAACTCCATTGAAAGACTTCTAGATATAATAAATAAGTTCAGCAGTGCAGCTGGATACAAAGTCAATACTCAAAAATCAATTGCATTCCTATACACTAACAACAAAATCACAGACAGAGAAATAAGAGAAGCCACACCCTTCACACTGGCATCCAAAAATATGAAATATTTAGGAATTAATCTCACAATACAAGTAAAAGAATTACAGGGAAAATTATAATACCCTGAAAGAAGAAATTGAAGACATCAGAAAATGGGAAGACATCCATTGTTCATGGATAAGAATAAATATTGTGAAAATGATCATTCGCCCAAAAGTGTTATATACAGATGCAATGCAATCCCAATGAAAATACCATTAACAAACCTTACAGATCTAGAGAAATAACGCCTAAAATTCACCTGGAACCAAAAGAGACCTAGAGTAACCAAAGCAGTTCGAAGTAGCAAAGGCAAGACAGGAGGCATCACTATCCCTGACTTGAAGTTATACTACAGAGTTTCTGTAATAAAATCAGCATGGTACTGGAATAAATATGGATCTGAAGATCAATGGAATAGATTATTAGAAGACACAACCATAAGTGCAAACACACTCAACCACCTTATCTTTGATAAAGACATGTTCACTGGAAGAATGACAGTCTCTTTAATAAATGGTGCTGGAAAAATGGCTCCTCATATGCCGAAAACTACACCTAGACTCATGCCTATCACCATGTACTAAACTAAAATCTAAATGGATCAAAGATCTGAATATTAAAACAGAAACACTAAATCTGCTGGAAGACAAAAATCTTGAATCTTAGATAAAAATCTTAGATAAAAATCTTGAAAACATAAAGGTAGGTAGGTAATTCATGAACAGGAATCAAACCACACAAGAAATACTTCCCAGAATCAATAACTGGGATGATGTCCTATTAAAAAGTTTCTGCATGTCAAAAGAAGTCTCCAGCAGAGTGAAAATAAAACCCACAAACTGGGAAAAAAATTCTCACTAAACTGTCCCTCAGACAAAGGACTTCAAAAACATATAAAGAATTTTTTTTTTTAAAAATGAGACCCCTGAAATTCAAAGACCCAATCAAAAAATGGGCATCTGAGATGAATACACATTCTCAGAAGAAGAAATGCAAATGGCAAATAAATACATGAAAAAATATTCATCATCATCAGTCTTTAGAGAAATTCAAATTAAAACAACACTGAGATTCCATCTTACTCCAGAAAGAATGACCAGGATCAAGAAAACCACCAACAACAAATGCTGAAGAGAGTGTGGGGAAAAAGGAACTCTCCTGCACTGCTGGTGGGAGTGTACACTGATGCCACCACTGGGGAGGTCAGCTGAGATTGGAAGTCCCATTTGACCCAGCTATTTCACTTCTGGGCATATTCCCAGAAGAACCGAAAATACCATTCCACAGTGATATATGTGCACCCATGTTCATAATAGCACAATTTGTAATAGCCATATCTTGGAAACAGTCTAAGTGTCCATCAACTGAGGAATGGATAAAAAAGATGTGGTATTTCTATACAATGGAGTACTACTCAGCTATAAAGAAGGATCACATTGAGATATCTATAAATAAATGGATGCAACTTGAGACCATACTCATAAGCAAAATAAAAACTCATATTTAAATACCATATAGTCTCCCTAATGTAAGACATGGTAAGAGTACAAAAGGATTTATGGTAGTCTTGATTCCCCATTACATTGCTTTGAAGCCTTATAATGTTTTCATTAATTAGTTGGAATGGTTTTATTCTGTTTTGTTTGATTTGATTGTGTGTGATGGTATGAACAGCTATTTTGAAGAAAACAAGACATTATGGCAGCCATTGCACTGATGTAATATCATCTTGTTTTGAAGCCCTACTATGCTTTTGTTCTTATGTTTCCATTGGTTCTATCATGTTGCGTCTTATTGGATTTTAATATATGTGATAGTATAAACAAATTTGCTATAGAAAAAGAGTTAATATGATAGCCATTATTAATTTTCTGTTCTTTGGTTCTGAATGCCCTATAATACTTTTATTCTCCTGAATAGTTTTACACTATTTTGTTATGTTTGATACTATTATATGTGAAGGTATACTCAACTATTTCAAATTTTGGTTGCTACTGTTAATATCCAGTTGTCTTGTAGTGAAGTGCTGTATTGCTTACATTGTTCTGCTCTGACCTGCTTTGTTCTGTCTTCTTTTGTCTTATCTCTTTAAAATAAAACTTAAAATTGTCAATAAAAAAGGATGCAAACTGGGAACATTGGGTATTGAAACATAAGTAAACAACACATTAAAAGTTGTTTTCTCTTGTGCTTTTTAGCACCTATTTGCAAACACAGACACCAATACTTACATCTTCAGTGTTTATGTCAAAGCTTTCCAAAATTTGGAGAAAAAATGGAGATGATTGTGGGTACATCAAACACAGTAAGCTACTGTATTTCTTTCCAGAGTCATGTGTATTGCTAGATTTACCTGGTTGAAATGTCTTTACATCCTTTATTCCTACTGCTTTCTTCGCAACACAATCTTTTGCTTCCATGGCAGGCTGAATGGGTTTTAAAGTCAAATGCTTAATGAACACTCCACAGCTCCAAAATGTGAAGTTGATTCAGAACACAAATATACAGTCATTATCTTCAAGTGAAGATGTGTGTCAGGTAAATCTAAAAAGGAAAATGAAAAATAATCTATATAAGAAAACATGAGAAAGCCAAACATACATTCTCACAGAGTTAGGGTACATGCTTTGCTTTGGAAATGAGTTCTTCAGATTTTTGACTTTGCTTTCCCATTGGTCAGATCAATATGAGAGAAAAATTAGAATACAGGTTGAACATGATTTCCAATGTGACATTATTCTTCCAAATGCCATAACTAAACAGGAAGTGAGTATATACCAATCTATACATGTCGGGTGTTGTGAAAAAGTGATTTTGGGATCCATCATGACCCTGAGAGGCTGACTGTCAAAGCTGAAAGAAGAGAACAGCATATAAATTGAACAAACCACATCATCCATTGGTACAGCATTGCACGACACGTAGGTGCTCTCGAGACACCCAGCACAGCAGAGCTCACAAACGGTGTGTCAATGCTATTTATGTTTTAAAAGATGAGGTTTTGTTATGCTGCCAAGGTGCCCTTAAATTCCTGCAAATGAGTGATCCCTCTCCCTCAAATTTTCAAATAGCTTGAACTGAAAGCATACGCACCATGCCTAGGGAGATTTTTATATACTACTCATCAATATCATTACTCCTTACACAAGCAGGTTTTGTGAAAGTTGGGGACAGGGCTGAGGAGAAGCTATGTGGGAATTTCTCAGTGATTTCCACTGATACCGCATTGAAGGAATGAACCAAAGAGTGTCTCTATGTTACTTTTTAAAGGATTTGTGTGAAAAAGCTATTTTATCACAACTTACTTATCTTAAAATGAGTCAATGCTTCTATGTGTACATTAATGTCACTTGAATAATTATCAATTTAACAGAAATCTCTGATGCCTGATAGTTTAGGAGGGGAGGGAAGTACCTACAGTGTAAGGCAAGTCTAGCCCTTGTCCCTGCTTCTAATCATCTCTGCAGCAGCAAGAATCGACTTTGCCATTTGTGAGCACAAACACTGAAGCTGTGAGGAGTAAGTGCTCTCATGTTTCATCATTTGTTCCAAAATTATGTTTAGCTTTGTTATTTCCTATTTTCTTCCCCCAATAAATCCCTGTTCCTCTCCCAACTGACCTCTAGTTCGATGGTCTTGATTGTTTCCATTTACTGCTTTTTATGGATTATTCCTACCATTCCTTTCTTTATTTGGCAGAAATGGCAGTAGTATCTTAGAATTACAATTTGTTTTTCATCTCTTTACTCTTTCCCCTTTGGCTAGAAATATTTTCAGAAATAAAAACAAGATTTATGGGATGAGGCTGAGGAGGCGTATGATTCCCATTCAGTCTCTGGTCCCAGGAGGGAGCTCTCTAGGGGCACGACCTACCGCAGCAGTCCTGCCCTGGGGGAGTGCTGAGCTGTGGTGGAGCTTAGGACGGGGAGAACAGGTCAGACACTGGGAGCCTCATGCATCTGCTCTGTTACCTTCACTGATACCACTTCATAAGAGTCCAGAAGGGTGGCTTTTCAATTGTTCCACCTCATTGCCTCTTAAATTTGCCTTTGGGGACTTGCAGATCCAGAGTTCCATTTGGCTTCTATGTCTTCACATTTTCTATTTTTATTTCAGTGAAATTGCTGCACTGATCCTTATAAATTGTTTATGGTAGTTATCTTTATTGCTGATATCAATAACAATGACTTGGGAAATTACTACTCCTCAGAGACATCTTCAAGTTGTAGCTGACTTTTGAGTGTTGATTCTGTTATAAGATTGTCCTTGTTCAGCAGTCACGGGAAAGATGGTGGATCAGTAACTAACAAGGTACAGAGCCTCTCTGGGAGAAACAGATCAGACACTTAGAATTTACCACCATGCAGAAGACTGGGTGAAAGGAAATGGACTCTCAATGACTCAGGAAGAAACTGAGGAAAAAGATTTAAAAAAAAAAGAAAACAAAAATGTGGACAGAAGGCTGGAGCCAGAAGCACGCTCACCAGAGCCAGTCCAACTCACGGGTGTGGCACTCTCACCTGAGCCAGTTGGACTCGCATGGCAGTGCTCTCACTGGAGCCACAGTTGTGCTGAAGTCAGGGTTGGGTAAGCCCAATGGAGGACAGAGCCAGGGTGGAGACCTGCACTAACCTGCAGTGAGTGCTCAGAATCTGGCCCTCCTGGGAGAGATTAGGTGACCAACCAGATGACATATTGACATTGGGCAGGATGGGCCAGAACAAGGAATGGCAGTGACTTCAGTTGGCTGCTCCCTGCCAAGAGCACATGGGTGGGATCTGATAGGGCTGGGTCATGCCTTTGGCCAGCACCCAATAGCCAGAGTTGAAATTGTCCCTGACATTTTCCTAAACCAGTTCCATCCTCGCTGCACAAACTAATGTGGTGAAGGCCTCCACTGGTTGACTGGCTCAGAGGGTAGGGGCCATCCTACACCACCCCTGCTTGCACCTCAATGACCAACAACAAAATGGAGAAGGCTGCAATCCCTAGCCAGCACACTTCAGAAGAACCATAACCAATAGGAAAGGGGCTGGGACCTTCACGATACACCTGTATTGAGGAAGCAAGATACATAACAAGAGAAAGAAGTAAGAAAAAGCCTCCAGTCAACCCAGGGAATATGGGGGCCAGGAGAGGTATATACCGAACAGATTGAGGGCAGGAAACATGAGATATTTGACATGGTATCAGCTGACATAAAGAAATATCTTCATGACATTATAGATGAACTGAAAACTGAAATATTAATACAACTACAGTAAGATGTAAGATTAATAAAAGAAATGCTAAGCCCCTCCCAAGAAGACATAGATGGAAAAATGGAGGAACACGAAAAAGGAGAGAAACCTTCATAGAAGACCATAAAATAAAACTAGAATACATGCAACAGAGTCAAAGAGATTACCGGGAAATTTAAAACTACATTGAAAAATAGCAAAATTGCCTGAAGGAAACTAGGGATACATTAACAACACTTGATAGGTTTGCAATGTGTGATTGTGAAAGGAAAGATCTCTTAAAAATAACAAAGAAATAGGCAGTAACAATACAAAGGCTAGAAGACAACAAGAGGATGATCCATAGTTTAAGAATAAAAATGAGTGAAGAAGCAGGAGTAAACACAAAGCAGATACAAAGGCTATTCACAGAAATAATTAAGAAAAACTTCCCAGGCATAGGAAAAGGAGATGATATTCAGCTGTTTGAGGCATACAGAACTCCAGCCATCTAAAACAAAACTGAGCTACCACCCAGACATATAATAATCGAGATCCCAGAAATTCATCCCAAGAACAGAATATTGAAAGCTGTCAGAGAAAATAAAAGATCACCTCTAAAGGAAAACCCATCAAACTCATGACAGACTTCTTGACACAAACCATCAAATCAAGAAGAACTTGAAGTGAATTATTCCAAGCCTTGAAAGAAAATAACCTCCAATCCAGATTGACATACCCTGAAAAACTGTCTCTCAAAATTAATGGAGAAACAAGATGCTTCCATGACAAAGAGGAACTGGGGGAGTTCGTGACCACCAACCCAACCCTACAAAAAATACTGAAAGACATTCTAGAGAGGGAGAAAAAAAACCCCAGGATTTCAGGAACAGTGGCAGAGAGGCCTCAATGAATGGGGCAGACAATGGAATGAAGGAGAAAAGTAGACAACCAATAGCAGAAAAATAGCATAGCAGAAATGAGGCAGAGAAGGTTGGCTATAATCTCTAACATAGATGGCCTTGATACACTAACAAAAAGAAACACAGGCAGAGTAGATCAGGAGATAGGGCCCATCGAAAATTTCCTCTGTATAGGAAATATAATTAACGTGAAAGAGGGTTTATGGACCAAAAGTCAAATATGAAAAAACAATGCTCTATGTGACAGGGAACCAGAGAGAAATAGGGGCAGCTCGTCCAGCACCTGAAGACCGCTTGGAAAGACATGACACTTGTGCAGTGGAGAAGAAGCTATAATGAAGCAAAAGCCTTGAGGCTTTTGTATGTGCAGGAAAACAACTTAAGATCAAGCCCAGGGGTAAAAAGTTTCAGAACCACTTGGGTAAATAACAGGTTGCATCCCTAACCTACAAACTAAAGGGAATTAGTGGGAACCAAAATGTACAATGTAACCCATGAAAGTGAAAGTAAAAGGGAAGGAATTGTCTAAAAAGGAAGGCAGAGGACATTGTTAATAGTGTACCACGATTTAAAATCCACATTGTTCTCATCATTTTGTTTAGTTTGGTTATATTTTATTCCAGCCTGTCTACCTGTAGTAGACTTAATGGCCAGACAGCTACTCCAAAAATAGCAGGATATACCACAGTAACCATCCTTAATTTCCTATTAACTTAATCTGAAGCCCTGTATTACTTATACTGTCTTATTATGACTGATCTTATTTGAATCTGGTTTGTCAGATCACTGTCTCGTCTTGACTGATCTTATTCAAATCTGTTATGATTTGATAGTATCAAGTCTGAGAGTATAGACAACTACACTGAAGATGACAGGATTTACTAGGATACCCACTCTGGTTTGATTATTACCTGCTTTTGAAGTCTTATAATGTCTCCAATGTTTTGTTTTTATTAATATTGTTATATACTGCTATGTTCAATTATACTATGCCTGATGATATAGACAATTCTATTGAAGATAAAAAGAGACATCATAGTAACCATTGTAGGTCACCTTGTGTCATGGTTTTATATGACTTTTTCATTTTGTGTTTTTCTAGGAGTTTTTGTTTTGTCTTGTTTTGTTTTTCCCTCCAATACAGAAAGGATAGCTATCCATATAGAGACTCGTGCATGTGTAGAACTTCTAAACAGTTTATGAGAACTGATTATATAATGCACAATAAAAAGAACAACTACTTCGAAGAAAAAGAGACACTAAGGGACCCAGTTCTGATTCCGTAGCATCATGATGTGAAATCCAGCAAATTATTATTCTTTATTCCAAGTGATTTTAGTCTGTTTTGTTTAATTTCAAAATGCATGAAGGAATGGACAGTGATTTTGAAGAGAATGAGGAACACTATGACAGCCATTGTCGACTTCCTTATTGTCTGGTCTTGAAGCCGTAAAATGCCTTCACCATCCTGTTTGGATCAGTTTTTTTTTTTTTTTTTTTTTTTGTCTTTTTTCCTTTTTATCGGTACCAGGGATCGAACTCACGACTGCCTGCTTGCAAGGCAGGTGCTTATGCCGCTGAGCTAAATCCCCAGCCCCGGGATCAGTTTTATACTATGTTGTTTTGTATAAATTCACTGTATGTGAAGATATGGACAAGTATTTGGAAGAAAACAAGAGAAAGTATAACAGATAGTGAAGATCTACTGATGTCTTGCTTTGAAATGTGTCTCTTACACTGCTTTCTTATGTTTTGTTTTGTTATCTTTTGTTATGCTTAATTTTACCCTGTTTAAAATAAAATTAAGAAAAAAAGATTTATGCTCCCCCTTGACCCTGTTATGTCTTGATCTAGTTCTCAACTTATGGTTCTTCTCCAGATTTCTCTACAGGAAACTTGATATTGGGCCACCTCCAGTGGTCTGAGGATGAGCGGTGTCAGCCTTTCCAGAGAACTTACTACCAATACACTTCCTCAGTCCTTGTGAATCAAATATGTGGTGTAACATGTTCCCCAACAGGGGCTTCATTTCTTCACAAAAGATCTGGCACACACACTCTCTTCCAAATCCTCTTCCCTTCCCTGAGTCTCTTCCAAATCCTCTTCCCTTCCCTTCTTTCCCGTTTTGGAAAGTGGTGCTGACTTCCTCCTCATCATGTCACCCAAATTGAAAATGCACGAATGTCAACCACTTTCTTATGGACTTTTTACTGAGACTATGACTTTGCTGATCTCAAAAAGCACTCCTTTCTTTCTATTTTTTTACTGTCTCATTCTGGATACACTACATGATGAAACAGCAACTCTTTTTAAGTGGTAAACTGTAAATGGAATTCTGCAACCAGCATTGTGGGAGAAGTAAGTGCATGAACCAAGGTACCAGTGAAACTACGCATATAGCTGACCTTGCTTGTTTATTCTGATCTGTAGTGAATAAAGAAGAGCTCTGCATAATCTAGTACTTCAGTCCTTGATGCCTTTCCAGTGGTAAGAAGACAGGGAAAGTGAAAAACTTCTGCTCTACTTCTCTATCAAGTTTTGCTACTCAATGCTCAATTGATACAATTTCTACACTTCTGCTACCTTGATCTTCCTTCTCTTAAGAATTACTTCATTTCAGGGGCTGGGGATTTAGCTCAGTGGCATAAGTGCCTGCCTTGCAAGCAGGCAGTCGTGAGTTCGATCCCTGGTACCAATAAAAAAGGAAAAAGACAAAAAAAAAAAAAAGAATTACTTCATTTTTCCACACTCCATACTTTGTTTTCTTTGTTTACTCCCTGTATTATTGCTTTCGCATTCTTCACTCCTTTCTTTCCTATTAATTTTCTAACTTCCCTCAGACATTAGAATGCCTTGAAATGGTGCTAACAAGGTAGCTCCCTCAGTGACCCTCAAATTAACCTATTACTTAAACTTCAAAGTATATAAAACTTACTACTGATTTACTTCTTTTTTCTTACTATCCAATTCATGGGTAGTTTTTTGACTATTATAATCCAGCAATGCTCTACTTTTAGCTAAATAACTATCAAATAACTTCTCTAAATAAATTACACATATTTCCTACCTTTTGTTTGTGTATTTCCTGCATGTTTTCCTCCATCATCTGCATCCCCAGGAAAAGGATCGACAGGCTGCTGTGGAAGATTCTGTGAAAATTCATATAGCAGTAATGAGTTACAGAAGCATTTCTTACTCATTTCCAAAGAAACTATCTGATTTTTACCATCTTAAGGCAAGCAGGTTTAATAATGGGAAGCATATACTGAGAACCAAAATGTCTCCCATGTGAACCTTATGACAAGCCCAGCTGCTGTCTCCATATGGGTGCTGACTTTGTAAAGCAGGCATGGAATGCTACAGGAAGGATTCAGAGACAAAATTCTGTCTGACAAACCTATTTCATCCTAGCTTCACAAGAGTCAACAGTACGCTGCACTCTCCAATGAATGTAACATTGAAACATACAGATTTACATTAAGCCATTTTTATGAGTGCATGTTTGTGATATGTAACAATTACACTTGTTTTGGGGAACTGCTACATGAGTTATCATTTCTTGATTACCTTGGTTCCCTTTACACCCTAATATCACTTTCCCTTCCCTGAATAAACAAATTCTTATAAATATACTTGTTATTATTCAGCATTAAGCATTCTATTCACAGAAGTCATGTCACTGTTAAGATACTCGGCCAGTAAGAAACTTCAGAGAGCCATGCTGAGTAAAAACATCATTGCAGGCACTACTTCACTTGTGTAAACAAGGACTTGAAAGAAAAGCAATTCTGAGATAATATTTTTACTGATAGAAAAATGTTTGAAAATAAAAATATACTGATAACTTCATGTTATATTCAAGAAATAGCACATGAATATGAGATGTTATATACAACTCTTTCCCAATTAAGAAAAACTTTGAAAAAGTATGAAAAAAGACTGCAACATAAAAACTTTTTTTACAAAGTGCCCCCAATTTACAACATACCGACTTACACATTTTCTTTTCTATCTGTTACAAAACTGTAAATAACTGTGAGGAAGTAACTGCACTTCCTGCTTCCTGGTCACTGTAGGGTGCTGCAGTGATGGACAGACAGGGCTCATGGTCCTGCCCACAGTGTCCTCCTGGACTTTACTGTGCTGGCTCTTGTTCACTCTTATATTAGCAGCAGTTCACTCTCATTTCCATCTGTACTGAAACCCCCCTTGAAAATTCTTTAACATTTGCAGGGCTAGTGGTGCACACCTGTAATTCCAAACTTTTGGAAGGGTAAGGCATGACAAGCACCAGTTCAAGCCCAGTCTTGGGAATGTGGTTACATAGAAAGACCCTGTCTCAAGTCTAATATGGCTGGTGGTGCAGTGCCATGGGAAGGCCACAGGATGGATTCAAATTAATGAAATAAAAAGTGCTTCTTGTTCATTTGACTGCTCTATCATGATAACATAAGTCTTCACCTAAGATATTCAGTATCTCACTACTTGGTACACAGTGGTACTCTAAAACAGAGATTTATTCAAGTTCACATTTAAAATCTCATCAGGGAAGCCTCAAGCACCAAGCCACTCTCTTCCTATATGCTGTCTCCATCATCAACAGTTTTACTAAGAGTTTTACCATTTACAAATCAGCAATCTACATGCCCCTCTCATCTTTCTTACTCTTTTCTTCACATTATTATTTTGCTGATCTCATGTTTAGGAAAAAATCTTCAATATTTATTCAGGTAAAACCTTTTATACTTTCAAAGTATTTTTATAATTTTTGTCACAAATTTCCTATGACATATAGAAAGCATCACATAAGTAGTAGATCATGTGCCATCTTCATGGTATAATAAGGTCACCAAAAGCCAAATTCGTTAAATTATGTTTCCAAGATTTAGCAGTTACTAACAGACAGAATACTAACACATCTTGTGACTTCAACCACCATCCTGGTACCACAATGCAGGAGCTGCATGGAACAAAGACATTAGCCCTTTCCCAAAATGCTCACTCTAGGGCCAGGGATTTAGCTCAGTGGCTGAAGTGCCTCTCTGGCAAGCGCAAGGTTGTGAGTTTGAACCCCAGTAACCAAAAAACAAAACAGAACAAACAAAAAATCAAAATGTTCACTCTAACACAATTTGTCATTATTTACATTTTTATCAGTACAAGCATGGCTGCCATAAAGAGACTCACTGCATTCCACATTCAAAATTGGTTTCTGTTTTTTCAAATAATAGAACACCAAACTGTGAGTATAACACCATGTATTTACATCTTGAGTCCTTGATTCTATTGAATTACTACGTTCAGATCGACACCAGGAAACCCAAACATATTAACTATTGCAATTATCATTTATTACTTTGTCAAGTAAAAAACTGTAAAAATTATGATCCAAACATTTTGTCTGAATCTCAGCAGAATTTTCACCCATTGGCCATAGACTGACTGGGAAAAATTCCTCAGTTTTTGCTCAGCTTAGTTTTAGAATCCAAGCTGATTGCTTATGACATGTTGCTCCTAGTTTTTAACTGCACTGGCTTCCTTAAATGAATCTTACACAGGTAGCAAAGGTGTGCTCAGACTCCATTCATTTATTCCTTCACCTGCAATACAAAGGATTCAGCACAGGGCAATTGCATTCAGCTATGAACCCAGTGGCATTAACTCTTTGAGACATAATCATACTAAACAGCTAAGCTACACAGGAAATTAGGAACTGTGGTTAAAAACTGTAAGGAAAAATTTCTTACAGGTATATGAACAGGTGAGAAAGTATAGTCAAATTTTCCCATTATATTTCAACCTCAACCAATATTTATTTCAAAAATAATTACAGGCAATACCTCAGAATCCCAAGGAGATTCATCATCTGTCTGTGCTTCCAGTGGCAACACAGTATCTATAAAATGTAGTCACAGACACATTAGTTATATTCACTACAATAAATTTTATTCATGTATGCAAATCCATCTGCATTCATGAACATTTCACTAAGATACAAGTCAATGTGAAAAGAATTTCAGAAACAGGTTCAGAAATATGTTGGTGGAAGAAAAATAAGACAATAAAATTTTAAAAGAAATGGATATTATGTTTTGGATCTACACACATTTGAAAATAATAGCATATGAACAAGAACGATTTTCATAGCTAGTCACTAACTTACCAGTTTGAGGAGTTTTCTTCTCTTCATCCACATTAGTCATATTTTTGGCTGTTTGCTCTTCTTGTGTTTTTACAAGAACAAACTTACCATTTTCCAGCCTTATAATTTTTGGCCTTTCTGCTTCTTTATAACAAAAAAAAAAGGCAGAACAAAAACAAAAATAGCATTACAAAGCATGCAATTTCCCAGTGACCCACCCAGCATAATGGAAACAATCACGGGAAAAAATTTATCAAATCACAGTGACTACTCTGGGAAAAGCTGAAAACAGAAAGCACATTCTGCTCTGCACGGAAGTAGATGCAGATACATGAACACAAATGAAAACAGTGAAATGTGTTTCATTTATTCTACAAATGAGGTACAAAGATACACATCCAAATCAAGTACAATCAGTTCTATCTGGGAAGCTCAGGAAAGGCCATTTCTTTTGAAAGGGAGAGAAAGCACACAGGAAGGCTGTCTAGGGAAGTCAAATTATCACATTTACATTTAAACCTCAACCAATACTTATTTCAAAAATAATTACAAGTGATAGGCAACACCTCCGAATTCAAGAATACCATTTCATTTAAAGAACAAATGAAATACCTCAGAATTCAAAAAGGGACACCAGAAACAAAAGGATGAGGCATGAAACAATGCAGCAAAAGAGGGCTGCCCAAGGAAGATGATACAACTAGAATAGTTTCCAGAAGGGCACAAACAGATAAAAAGGAGCAGCAAGGGGAACCACACAAGACTCATCTCAGGCTGGAATGGGAACTTTCCCTTTGTGAAAAGGAAATCTGCAGATTCTTGGCAGCAGTGTAAGATCAATGCCAGAGTTTAATGGGCAGCAGAGCATAAAAGAATATAATGTCTACATGATGGGTGAGAAAATGAGTCTAGAAATGAAAAACAGTTCTCAGAATGTAAAGAGTAAGAAAGACTCGATAGTCATCAGAAGAGTGGCTGGGGCCAGGAATTCTCAGCTTCAGAGGTCTGGAGCCATCCAATATCAGCGCGGAAAGGTCACAGTCAAGGCCTGCAGAAAGACATCAAGCTGGAGGCCTGGGACTGCAGACACATTGTAGGAGGAGGGGAGAAGATGACCTCACTCAGGAAATCATATCAGTTCAAAAGGTGAAGTATTTGTAGAATACAGCAAACTGATGTAGTAATGCTAACTATGCTATCCATGGTTCTGAAATTCCTCAAATGAAATCAAGGAGATGCCATTTTTCAATTATATACACTAACTTTTTTTCAGGAAATGAGCATAAACTTTTATTGATATATGTAAATGCTGACTTCTGGGACACTACATAAATATGATTTTAAAATTTAATCATAAGATTTAACACTAAAATGTCCATTGAAGATTTTGCCAAAGATTCCTGTTCAAAGAAAAATCTTCCAGGATTTAATGAAATGGAGGCCTGCTGATGTGCACCTGTGTCCTGGGCTAATAGGGCAGCTGAGGTACGATGGTTCCTGAAGCTAGGAGTCAGAAGCCCAACTGATAAGTATAACCAGGTCCATTCTCAAAAAGGGAAACCTATTGTAAATTATAGAAGGGAAATGGTGATATATTTACAGAATAAGGTATTTTTGCATACTACTATAACATGAGGGAGAAATGTAAAACCTTATTTAAAAATTCCTATTCTCCCAATAAATGGCATATCCCAATACTTCTAATTTTCTATTTATACCATATGCAATGACAGTTACAAATGGAAGAAAGGTTGCATGCTATTTACCACTACCTGAGAACTGAAGCATTTATAGTAGAGAGAGAAGAAAACACAGTATGTTCCATGAGTTTTTCATTCAGAGAAACAACTGCTAATCAGGATTCTATAGAAAAATTACACTTTGAAAAGATGCACCTAGTAAACATGGAGCTGGCTAAAAGAAAAGATATAAATTTTAAGATGACATTCTAACCTATGTTCAGAGTTAAAGGATACTACAATGTACTGTGTGTATCATACCTATTCATTCCTCTGATTTGTTTCCTTATTTGACATAACATTAAACATAACCTGAAATTATATATCCTAAGCACAGTAAGGAAATATACACTTTAGGGCATATTTTTAGAAACTCAATGTACTTATTTATTACATAAATCATGCATACATTACTTGAAAAATTCTACTAGGTAGAAATCCATTCATTAACATTCAAATGGTATTAAAATGCCTCTTAATACAAAACACCGCACTGCAGGTCTTCAGAATTCACACAACATCTTTCTAATCTCCAGAAACTCACAGTACTGTGGGAGTTTTAAATGAATATTTGGAAGTACAAAAACTTCTGAAACTTGAAATGTCAGAATGAGATTTGGACACTTCAACTGTATATTTTAAAAACTATAATGCTTACAATTACTTAATCATTACCACTTGCTTTTTTAGAACATCTAGTTCTAGGACTGGTCATTATTTTGACCACAACAAGTATTCTTCAAAAAGATGAAAAATTTTAAAAATGTTATCCTCTTAATGGAGGAATCACTTAGAAAACACGGTGCAGGCAGGTGTAGTAGCACATTCAACCCAGCACTGAAGGTGAAGCTAAAGATCCCAAATTCCAGTCCTGATTAAAAAACAAATTCAATTAATTAAAAAAAATGAGGACCAGGGGTAGTCCTTCTTGCACAGGCCCTGTGATCAACTCCCAGGAACAAAAGAAATAAAATAGCAACAATGAAAATCCTGCACTTCTAAAATTTGATGACACAGATACAGATAACTTTGATGAAACATTTTAAATTTCTAAGTTGTCACAGTTTCCAATATTATTTTAATCCAACAGAACCAATAAAGGCAACAGAAAAGCTCTCATAAAAACTGTATGACAGTAAAATAAAATGCACTTAAAGGAAAAAATGTTTTATCTCTAAGTTGCTCAAATGAAGGCACCAAAGTTCCCTGATTATTGAAAGGACTAATAAGATCATAAAATATTTATATAGGTATGAGTGCTATGAAGATCTTGGTAGTAAGATTTTCAAGCCATGGCAAGGTCCACTTATCCAAATGATCCTTGACCAAATTTTGTATTTCCGCCATCATGGCAAAGGTTTGACAGACACAATTTTCCTGTCATTATATATTTTCTAACCCATTAGTTTTTTCAGTCACAAATACTTCAAAGTATGTACCAGTTATTTACCAAAGGGGTGGAAATTCTTTTTGACTAGGCATAGTTCTCTAAAATGAACTTCCCTGATCAATGTTCCATATAAATTCAGGGTAGCTACATCACTGTTAAATTTGAAGACTAAGTGCAATACAATGCAAAACTAAGAGGAAGAAAATTAACATTACGAAAGAGACTTACCTTGTTATCCAGAAGAAAGTCAGTGTCATCTGATGTAGGCCAGGAATTAACAGGACTGGGTTTGCTGGAAGAGCTGGGGAGCAAAAACACACAATAGCAGTGGGTGAGTTTCATTCTTTAAAAACTGGTGAAAGCTTGGCTATCTGTGTATCAAATGATGGTTCGTGGTTGACACAACTAAAATTTGACTTGTAGTTTTGAAATATTTTAGATGTTTCCTTCTGTCTTCACTTATTCCAATCTACGAAACACTCAGCATAGTCTCACTTTCACTCCCAAAGCGTGACAGCCAAGAGACCAGCACAGTCTAAAAGTCATTTCTCTTTACAAATTGCCTCCTCTGAAGGCTGAAGTGAAAATGCAATCAATGGCCAACAAAACTTGTTACCTGGACTCAAAAATGCCTGGTAACCTCAAGGTGAAAAGATTCACCGTCCCCTTTCCCTGGTCTGTCTCTGTTTCAATGACTAATCTGGTTGTGATGGTTTTGGTTTAAAGTGTCCCCTTTAGTAGGAAGGTGTTTGGACCATGGGGACCCTATACTCAGCATGCCCTCATCCATCTGCAAGTTCAGTAGCTCACTGTGCCCTTAGCAGGTCGGGTCTGCTCTGAGGCAGGCCACTGGGTCCTGACCTGGATGGGTGAATTCTCACCCCTGGTTCTTCAGCCCTCTCACTGCTCCTGCCTGCAGGAGCTTTCCGCTACCTTGTCTCCCTGCTAAGGAATTTCTTCCTTGGAGCCTGAACTGAGTCAAAATAAATCTTTCCTCCTTTAAAACACTGGGGTTGAGCAATTTCCTCCATTAATGCAAAAGTTAGTGAAAGTCAGTTTGATGCTAAGTAACTCTGGAATGGCAGTCTTTTTCTACTATCAAAGCCCCTTACAGTAAGACAACTCTGTTTCTTCCCTTTACCATAAAAACAGGACATTGAACTATAAAAATATCTGAAGGTTAAAAGTATGGAAATCAAAGAAAAAAATGTGTATGTGAGTTGATAAATCTCTTCCCAGGGAAATTAAACTATTAAAATTATAAAATCCAATTATTTTTCCTGTATGGCTTTGCTTTTTTCACCTACACATAAATTGGTGAAACTTTCACAGACACACTGACATTCAAGCAGGATCTAGCTGGAAAATCAGCCCTGGCAGCTGCTCCTCTGTTATCCTAAGTCTAATCTAAAGTCCTTCTGAAAGGGCTCCTACTCCTGGGCTGCTCAATGGAGGGCTCCACAAGAGTCTTCACCTAAACTTTTCAGTCTATGAAGGCATAGATTCCTGCAACAAGGATGAACTCAAGTAAGCAACAGTAGCTGTTCCTGAAAAGAAAGCTATTTGTGTCACAATCACCTACCCTCAGCAGAAGCAAGGGACTGATAATCAAATGGGCACGTCTGACTTCCAGGCCTACCTTCCATCTACAGGAAGCACATCAGCCAATGGAGTACAGAGGTGGAGGTGAGAGACATCTGTCCTGGGTCACAGGCCCATGAAGTTCAGCAACTTACGGTTCCCAGTGGACTTTGGGGCCTGAGCCACCCTACATGAACTGAGAAGGAAGGCGGCCATGGGACATTCCTCCCTGCTCTAGAGACTTCCCAATGGCTCACATTACCCTAAGCAATCCAACACCAATCTTCAAGTTTCTCAGTTTCTCCAACTGAACAAAGGGGAACAATCTTTTCAGGTGTCTTTAAACCTCCACTTTTAATATGCCTTTTGAAACAAGCTCACTAATTTGGGCTTCAATTTCTCTATTATCTTTATTAAACTTGTGACAAACCTCAACTTTCTGATTTCTAATACCCAAGTCTTGCCCAATTCGACGCTGCTCTTCAAACGTGCCTTCCCTCGTGAATTCTACTGTCATGCTTTCCCACTGGGCATGCTAGACCTGCTCCTCTCTTCTGCTATGGAAACTCTCACAGAAGGAGACATGAGGAAGTGTATTAGTCTCAGCAACGATAGAACCTGATTTCAATCTCATTTTTACCATGAACTATATTCAGATAAGTCACTTTAATATCATTGTGCTTCAAATTCTCTATGATACAACCATGTGGCTAGAATGTTAAGCAGGTTGAGGCAATAGAAGGTATTTTTATTGGTCTCTAAGATTCCTTAGAACCTGAAAGTCTACTTATTTTTTTACTCTGTTTAAGGAACAATAAGAAATACTAAGCAGCATAAGCACTTGCCTTGCAAGCATGCAGTCGTGAGATTTGATTTCTGGTACTAAAAAAAAAAATACTAAGGCAGCAGAAATAAAAAAAATACCAAGTAGAAGAAAAATTTTTTAAAAAGTCAAGAAAATATTTTACTTAAGAGGAAAAAAAATCATAGAACTAGGCAGTAGTAATAGCCTGAAAGGAAAACCAAACAGGGAAATTGGTGAATAGACACATGCATTAAAAATGTCATTGCAATAAACCGTTCACATAAATAATATAAGATGATTTACATAAAGGTAGTCTTAACTACCACATCTCCCCTAAGTTCTATAGTGGTAAAAACAAGAAACTGGCTATCAATTCAATCATTATCTTTAGAATAAACTCACCAGCTTCTCAGGAAAACTAAGCAGACTTGACATGTCCCTTATGGTGACTTTCTACACTCATCTTAAATGACCTGCATTTGGATCCCAGCACTGCAGAGGGCAATGGAAGGCATCTGGGAGCCAGGCAGGCTAACAGTCAACACATGGGTCAGTTACTTCTTAATTATGGGACCATGGACTATTTAAATAACCCCCATTCATAACAGCAGCCAAATTAATAAAACTGGATTAAAACAGTACAGGTACTTTGTCTGGCCTGGAACAGAACACTAAAAAAGATTATTTTCTTTTTCTGCACTCACTAATTAGTCACCGTATGATATTTAAAAACCTGTAAGTTCTTACCTGGTTACAGATTCATCTTCAGAAATAGCAGGTGCTATTAAAGAAAAAGGTAAAATATATTTTGAATTAACAAAAATATAAACTATTAAAAGTATAACTCTGATGTTTTGACACAAAATAGTCTTTTGGGCTGCATCTGTAGCCCATTCTACAATCAGTATTAATTATGCTATTGATATGCAATGCATTAAGAAATCTCACTTCCTATTTTTAAGAAATGCAGGGAAGAAGAGAATTTATCTACATTTGATAGCTAAATGAGCAAAGTGCTGTGCACAATGACATCCTACCTGAAGGTATTATATTGACAGAAATGGTACCATTAGCAGTATCGCTGGCATAAGCTGACATGGCAAACAAAGAGCATGACTTTCCTAGAGTAGTGGCACTAGGAACGATCATAAAAGATACACTTATTTTCTTAAGACACAACGCAGCTGCTGTAGCATTCAGTTGGAACTGTAGAGTTTGAAGAGGAAATACTTTAGCTCAAGGAAGCTGTAAAGGGCATTCTAATTTGCAGCATGGCAAAATATGGGAAGCACACCTGAAACAAGCACCATTGCAATGATTTCCAGCTCTCAGTGGAGAAGAGCTCAGGAGAAGTCTGTGCACTTACTCTTGCTATTCCTCTCCTAGGGAAGATTCTAAGGAGCTCCCTTAGTTCTCCCTGGTTTCTCTGTCATATGTGTGATGCAAACAGGGCTCAAGTTCATCTGCTATCTTACTTCCCATGGAAAGAACCACTTCAGAGCTCAAGCCCTTACAAGCTGGTCCAGTCTGAAAAGCTTAAAAGCCAGCACTGGGGAGGTTGCAACCAGCTGCCAGGGAGCACTATCTTACATGGAATAATGAAAACATACAAATGAAACCACTAACTCACTGAGCCTCTCAGAATGTGACAAGTGAAAGACAAAATTTTACGTCATGTAAACTTTGGGAAAAAAACAAAACAACACAAAGAACCAAAAGCCTCTGATTTCCCGTGACAGAGAACCTATTCATACAAAGTCAGGGCTGGGGTTGGACTCAGTGGTAAACATGTGTGCACAGCACGCACAAGACCACTGAGTCCCTAGTACTGAAGGAGTGAGGACCAATAATAATAATGATAAAATCGGTCATGTTTTACTAACTTAACATGACTTGCACTCAAAGGAAGAGGAGCATTTTGACTCACCTATAGCTTTCATTACTCCCTCATCTTACTTCCCATCTCCAGGTAAGAATGAAAGCCCTGAGGCACTTTGAGAAGCACAGCACTCGCCAGTGTCTGCCTCCATTCTCAAAGGTTCTGTCTGGACCCAACAGAACAAGGTGGTGCAGTTCGTGCTCTGAAGTTCAGCATGATGTCACTTTTGGCAACCCTCCTCATGATGAGGAATCCACATAGAAAGCAGGCCAGCTCAGCATGTGGAGCACATGCCATCAGCGCATATTCATACAAGCATCAAAAACACAAAAACTAAGGCTGGAGGTATAGCTCCATGGTAAATCATTGACCTGGAATGGCCAAAGCACTGGCTTCGGTCCCTAGCAACATCCCCAATAAGAGGAAAAAAGGCAGTTCAAGTAACAGCTTTATTGGCTACATTCAGTTAGCTTGAACAGTTATTGCTTTTAATCTTCAAAAATTATCCACTGTATCATTTCAATGAAGGAGCAGATCTGCTAAAATGATCACTGCCAGGAAAATGAAAAGTTCAGTGGCTGCAGTATTGGTGGGGTGGTGCAGGGCCAGGGAGGCAATGAACAAATAGCACAAAGGAGCTGTCTGAGGCATGACACTGCTAAAGGAAACACACAACAAATTTCAATCCACCATCACATGAAGAATGCTAACAGTGAAACTTAGTGTTAAATGCAGACTTTGGATGGGAACCAAGGACCAGTGTAAGTCATCGTCTATAACAAGTGTACTACTCTAGAGGACAGCACTGGCCATGGAGGGAGGCAACTCGTGTGAGAGGCACAGTCTACTGGAAATCTCTGGATCTTCCTTTCAATTTTGCCGTGAACTTAATCCTGATGTTTATAAATGTTCATAGTGCAAAGGGTACAGTTCAGTGGAGGGGCACTTGCCTTGCATGAGTGGAGTGTCAGGTCTACCAATCCCTGGAAAAAAGAACACATAAAAAATAAAAGAGAAGAAACAAAGCTGTTAATTAAAGATAGTTACTGAACCCAGTACTGCAGAAGATACAGAAACTCAGTATACCCCTGGAGATAATTACAAGATCAAAGTAGGACAGACTAGATATCATCTCCTAAACTGAAGAATAGGAAAATATGGAGAACAACATAAGTTACAAACTTGGGTGGGAAAATAATGTATAAGTGACTTAACATTTTATTTTTAGTCACAAAAAACTCTTCTCAGTGATAAAATCATATAGTAATATGTTTTTTACTAAGTCTAATGCATTTATTAACATATTAAACCTTCACTATATGTTATTACACAGACACTAAACATAGTGATTTAAAACTCTTTTCATGTATAGGATTTCAGAAGTAAAAATTAATAAATGGAGTATTTTGGAATAAAATTTTCCTACACTTAATTTCTTAAATACTTCTGAATTCTGCAGTATTAAGAAAAAAACAAGAACAAATATAAATGCAGCAGTAAATATACTACACATTTGAGTAGACCCATCAGATCTAGAACACCAACAGTTTGCCCTAATGTTAACTGCCAACGTTAGATGATAACGTAACAAAGGACCACTGTAAGTCATCATCTGTAACAAGGGTACTCCTCTAGGGGCGGGCACTGGCCATGGAGGGAAGCAAAACACTTTGTGTGAGAGAGACATGATCAATCAAAGCCCTCTGGATCCTCCTTTCAACTTTGCTGTGAACCTAAGCCAGACATAAAAAACAAAGTTCTTAGTGAAAAGGGTACAGCTCTGTGGTAGAGCACTTGCCTGACTTGAGTGGAGTCTCGGGTTGAGTGGCAACCACTGCAAAAAGGAAGACAATGAAACAGAAAAAAAAAGAGAATAAACAAAGAAACAAAGAAAAAGGTATTATATAAAGTAAGTTAATGAATCTACTATTACCATGATATAGAAATTTAGTATACAATTAGAGATAATTCAAAAACACAGTAACAGTGTATAGATATCATCTCTTAAACCAAAGAGTAGGACCTTACACAGAATAATATAAATTACATACTTTAGTGGAAAAATAATCATTGATAAGTGACTTAAAATTTTATTTTTAATCACAAAAATCACTTTTCAGTAATACAACCATGTAGTAATATTCTTTTACTAAGTCTAACACATTTACTTATAAAATTAAAAGTTTACTCTAATGTTAGTACACACAAAGTAACCATACTAATTTAAAACTATTTTTCATGTATAGGATTTCAGAAGTAGAAATTAAAGAAGTGTAACATTTGGATTATAAATTTCCTATAATTCATCTCCTAAATACTTCTGAATATGGAGTATTAACAAACAATTAATAACAAACATAAATGCAACAGTAAATACCCTACACATTTGAATAGACCCATCAGATGGAGAACACTAACAGTGAACCCTAACATTAACTGCAGATTCAGATTTTAAGGATAAGGGTAGACTCGTGGTAAGTCATCGTCTATCACAAGTGTGCTTGGGGAGCGCACTGGCCATGGAAGGAGGCAACTTATGTGTGAGAGGCACATGATCAACTGCAAATCTCTGGAGCTTCCTTTCAATTTTGCAGTGAACTTAAACCTGATATAAAAAAGCAAACTTCTTAGTGTAAAGGATACACCTCAGTGATAGCGCACTTGCCTGGCATGAATGGAGCCACAGGAAAAGGTTGAGGCTCTGCAAAAGGGAAGACAAAAGAAAACAACACAGGAAAAAACTGTTAATTAAATGTAGTTACCGAAACTACTACTACCATGTTACAGAAACTCAGTATATACCTGGAGATAATTACAAGGTCAAAGTAGCACAGAATAGGTATCAACTCCTAAACCAAAGAATAGGTATAGAACAATATAAGTCACATACTTAGGCAAGAAAATAATTGATAGGTGACTTAACATTTTATTTTTATTCACAACAATCACTTCTTAGTGATACAATCATGTAGTAAAATGGTTTTACTAGGTCTAATGCATTTATTAAAATATTAAAACTTCACTATAATGTTAGTGCACAGATACTAGACAGACTAATTTAAAACACCTTTTCATGTACAGGATTACAGAAGTTAAAATTCAATAAAAGGCATATTTTAAATTATAATTTCCTACACTTCATGTCTTAAATACTTATGAATTGTGGAATTTAACACAAAATTAAGAACAAATATAAATGCAACAGCAAATACACTACACATTTGAATAGATCCATCAGATGGAGAACACTAACAGTGAACCTTAGTGTTAATTGCAGACTTTGGATGGCAATGATGGACCAGGGTAAGTCATCATCTACAAGGAGTGTATTACTCAAAGGGAGCACACTGCCTGTGAAGGGAGGGAACCCATCTGTGAGAGGCACATGATCAACCGAAATTTCTGGATCTTCCTCTCAACTTTTCTTTGAACTTAATCCTAATTTAAAAAACAAAGTTCTTAGTGCAAAGGACACAGCTCAGTTGTAGAGAACTTGCCTGGCATGGATGGAGTCCCAGGTAAGGTTATATCTGCAAAAATGAAAAGCAAAAACATTCAGAAAGAAAGAAAGAGAGAAAGAGAGAGAGAGAGAGAGAGAGAGAGAGAAAGAAAGACAAAAAACTATTAATTACAGGTAGTTACTGAATCCACTACTACCATGTTACAGAAACTCAGTATACAATTAGAGATGATTCCAAGATCAAACTAGCACAGTACAGGTAACGTCTCATAAATGAGTAGGAAAATATGGAGAACAATATAAGTTATAAACTTGGGTGAAAAAATAACTGAGAAGTGACTTAACACTTTTTTTAGTAACAAAAATCACTTCTGATACAACTGTGTAATAATACACTTTCACAAAGATTAATGCATTTATTAATATATTAACACTTTGCTAAAATATTAGTACATAGAAAGTAGCCATACTGATTTGTAACTCTTTTTCATGTTTACGATTTCAGAAGTAAAACTTAAATAAATGGAGTATTTTAGATAAAAATTTCCTATACTGCATTTCTTAAATACTTCTGAATTCTGCAGTATTAAAAAATTAAGAACAAACATAAGTTCAACACTAAATACACTACACAGTTGAGTAGACCCATCAGATCGAGAACACTAACAGTGAAACTAATATTAACTGCAGATTTGGATTATAATAATGGACCGGTTTAAATCACTGTCTATAACAAGTGTTCTAGTCTAAGGGAGGGCACTGGCCATAGAGGGAGGCAACTTATGTGTGAGAGGTATATGATCAACTGCAAATCTCTGGATCTTCCTTTCAATTTTGCTGTGAACTTAAGCCTGAAATTTAAAAAAACAGTTTATAGTGCAAAGGGTACAACTCCATGGTACAGCACTTGCCTGATACGAATGGAATCTCACGTTTTTTGGCAACCACTGCAAAAAAGAAAAGAATGGAACCGAAAAGAAAACAGAAGAGAAGAAACAAAGAAGAAAAGCTATTAATTAAAGACAGGTACTGAAACTATTACCATGTTATAGAAACTCAATGTACAATAGGAGATAATTCCAAGATCAAAGTAGCACACTATTAGTATCATCTCCAAAACCGAAGAGTGGAATATTATACAAAGCCATATAAATTAAATACTTAAGTGGGAAAATAATTCATAAGAGTGACAACATTTTAATTTTAGTCACAAAAATCACTTTTCAGTAATACACTCTTGTAGTAATATTCTTTTACTAAGTAAAACATATTTATTTAAAATATTAAAAGTTTAATCTTAATTCACACAAAGTAGCCATAGTGATTTAAAACTTTTTCATGTATAGGAATTCAAGTAAAATTAAATGAATGAAGTATTTTAGGTTATAAATTTCCTATAATCCATTTCCTAAATTCTTCTAAATATGGAATATTAACAAAAAATTAAACACAAATATAAATTGAACTGCAAATATACACTTCACCTTACAGTACACCCATGAGATGGGGAACACTAACAGTGAATCCTAACACTGACTGCAGACTTTGCTTGGTAATAATGGGCCAGTGTAAAGTCATTGTCTACACCAACTGTACTACTTTAGCGGAGGGCACTGGCTGTGGAAGGAGGCAACCCATGTGCAAGAGGCACGTGATCAAACAAAAATCTCTGGATCTTGCTTTCAATTTTGCTGCAAAATTAAACCTGATTTAAAAAAAAAAACATCTTAGTGCAAAGGGTACAGCTCACTGATAAAGCACTTGCCTGGCATGAATGGAGCCTCAATTTTAATTGCAACCACTGCAAAAAAGAAGACAAAAGAAAAGAAAAGCATACAGGAGAAAAGAAACAAACATAGGTTAAAAGCTATTAAATGAAAATAGTTACTAAATCTACTAGTATCATGTTACAGAAGCTCACTATACAAATTCACATAATTCCAAGATCAAAGCACCACAGTATAGGTATAATCTCCTAAAGCAAAGAACGGGAAAATATCCAGAAAAATATAAATTACACAACTAAGTGAAAATAATTGAGAAAAGTGACTTAACATATTAGTTCTAGTCAAAAATTCACTTTTTAGTGATATAACCATATAATAATTTTCTTTCACTAAGTCTAACACATTTACTTAAAAAATTAAAACTTTAATGTTAGTGTGTATAAATCAGCCATACTGATTTAGAACTCTTTTTCATGTATGGGATTTCTGAAGTAAAAATTAAATAAATGGAGTATTTAGATCATTAATTTCCTATACTGAATTTCTTAAATACTTCTGAATTCTGCAGTGTTAAGAAAAAATGAAGAATAAACATAGATGCAACAGTAAATATGTTACACATTTCAAAACAGCCATCTGATAGAGAACACTAAAAGTGATACTTTGAATTGTAACGATGGACTCCTGTAAATCATAGTCCATAACAAGCATTCTAATGTAGTGGAGGCCTCTGGCCCCTGAGGAAAGCAACCCATGTGTGAGAGGCACATAATAAACCAGAAATTTTTGGATATCCTCTTAATTTTTCTGTGAACTAAAACCTGATATAAAAAACAAACTTCTTGTTGCAAAAGATACACCTGAGTGGAGGGGTACTTGCCTCGTGTTAAAGAGGTCTCAGATTCACTTGCAACCACTACAAATAAGAGAACAGAAGAGATAAAGAAAAGAAACAAAGAGAAAACACTATTAATTGAGCATCGTTACTGAATCTACCATTACCTTGTTACAGAAACTCGGTATACAATTGGAGATAATTCCAAGATCAAAATAGCAGTGATAGATATTATCTCCTGAACTGAGGAGTAACAAATTATACAGATCCATATAAATGACATACTTAGGATGGAAAATAATGATAAAAGTGACTTAGCATGCTATTTTTAGTCACAAAAATCACTTTTCAGTAATACAATCATGTAGTAATATTCCTTTACTAAGTCTAATCCATTAGTTAAAATATTAAAAGTTTACTCTAATGTTAGTGCACAGAAAGTAGCCACACGGGTTTAAAATTCTTTTTTGTGTTTAGAATTTTAGAAGTAAAAATTAAATAAATGGAATATTTTAGATTAGGTCTTTCTTGTGATTCATTTCTTAAATAATTCTGAGTTTGGAATTATTAAAAAAATTAAGGAAATATAAATTTAATTGACACAGTGATTGTTTTAACTCCTCTTCTGTGTTCAAAATTTTTTCTTACTCTTTTCCTTTTTCGTTGTTTTTGTCTTTTGTTTTTTGTTCTTTGAGACAGGGTCTCACTATGTAGTGCAGGATTGCCTTCAACACAAGAAGGTACTCCTGCCTCAGCCTCGCCAGTGCTGGGGTTACAGGTTTGTGCCTTCACACTCATCCTTTTGTCTTTGAAAATCAAGACAGGGCCACCAAGTGTAATTCACTATGAGAAGTCTTACCTGGAGGGCTATTGTCAGAATTTGAAGATTCCTTTTCTTCACATTGAGAATTTTTTCTATGCAAAAAAGTGATTTAAAATTGATATAAAACATATTAAATTACTAAGCGTATTTCAGACAACGTTAGATCTAATATGAAAACTTTACTCCAATACTTCAAATCTGTCGTGTCTACAAAACTTTATTACACCTGTAATTAAGGAAGAAAAAACAGTAAGTAAAGTGAGGCAGGCATCAATCAAGAAAGGCAAGACAGCTCCAAGCATTAGCTGGATTAGCACAATTTAAGAGAAACTGTCTTGAAATCACAAGCTCCGGCTCGAAAACCAACAGCTGTTTCTTTTTGCATAAGTCATTTCCCTTAGACTCAAAGTCTTATAAACTGTAAGGACTTGGCTAATTTAGTTTACCAGAATCCCATGAAGGTTTGATGAGGTAACATAGAAACCTGCTCTCAGAAATAATAAAGTAAGGGGTGAGTAGTTCCTAAATGCTCACCTAATTTGGAATTCCAACTACAACCCAACGTGTGTATTTTCAGATTGTAGTATTCAAGTGCTGTAGTTACCAGAAAATAATGGGTCTTAATTTGGACTATGAGCTCTTCTCTTCTCTGTGGCTTATAATTCATGGCATATCAACTTTTAAATAATTTATAACTAAGTCTATATATAAATATCTCATTAAATTGGACAACATATTTGTTCTCTACTACTGAACTAGTTATGCCAATGGCAGAAAAGTAACAGATATCAAGACCTGGAATAAAACTTCAAGCAGAACACATAACTGTATCAGACAAACATGACCAGACAGGGAAAATCAAATAAGAATTAATACAATTGTGATAGAGCTGTTTAATTCCCCATTGTCACAAAGACATAAACCAAGTAGACAAAAATCAGCAAACAAATATCAGAACTGAATAAAACCTGTGAACAAGTGGACTTGGTAAGTGTTTACAACATTCCACTGAACAACATTAGGATACATGTTCTTCTCAGCTGCAAATGGGACATTCTCTAGACCATATACTGGCCCACAGAATATGCTTAAGTAAGTACTAAGGAACTGAACTTATCCCAGGCATATTTCCTGATGACATCCCAGTGAAACTGGAAATTAACACCAAAAGAAACCGCAAAAATTCCATAAACACATGGAAATAAATAACATACTCCTGAACAACCAATGGGTCACAGATGAAATTAAAAAAGAAATTAAACAATGTCTACAATTAAATGAAAATGCAGATACAACTTCCTGAAACCTTTGGAATGCAATGAAAGTAGTCCTATGGGAAATTTGTAATAGTGAAGTCTCACATCAGAAAAACAGAAAGAGCAAAAACTGGGACTTCTGGGAGAACATAGCAGACAGATAACAGCAGCTATGGAGGCTGCTTCTAAGACTTGGCTCTGAAGTCAGGAATGGTGCGGAGTAAGGAGAAATAAAACAGTGGAGATATGCTCTGCTGACCCAGGAACAAACTGGGCTGAGAGAAACCAACTTGGAATGCAGTCCTGGTGCTAGAACAGGAACAGAAAAGCCTCAGCGTGGAGGCTGGCCCCCCCGCCATTGGAAACCGCGATTTGGGTTTCCCACCACGCGGCGACTGCGTCTGCATCGGCTCGGCAGGGAGAGAGACGTGCGGAAGTTCTGAGAATGGGAATTGGTGAACGGAGTCGAAAACAGGACGGACGGGAGCCATGCACTGACTTGTGGTGAGGTGAGTGAGAGAAACTGACACTGTACAACAGTTTGACTCCAGCGGAAAGCATTCTGGAACTGGGCAGATTTGCGGGAGCAGGGCGCTGTGTCGACTTCAGCCACATATGCCCCTCTCAGGCGGGATTGGTGAGAAGTGCCTAGCCTACGTGACGCTGCTGGCTGAGACCCAGTAGGCTAGCACAACCCAGATCCCAGAGCCTGAGGGTGGCCTGGAGGGGTGGGCCCCGTGTAGGCTGCCTGGTCTGCAACTTCCTGGTGTGCTGCGGTGGGCGGGAACACCTAGCCAGCGCAATTCGATCAGGCTGTGGCTGACAGGGAGGGAAGCTGGGCCTCCTATATATGCTTGCATATATAAAGAACAAAGAATATGGGAAGAGGGAGCAACAAGAAAGGCTCCTCAGCCCCTAATCCTGAGAAACAGGCAAGAGCGGACACCGCACCAATAGACATAAAGCGCCATCTAGAGAGCCTCATAGATCAGTTCAGGAATGAAGTTATTAATGACCTGAAGCTAGAAGTAAGCAGAATAGTTAGAGAAATGCTAAGCACCACCCAAGAAAAAACAGATGGTGGAATGGAAGAACAGAAAAAGAGGGGAGAATTGTTTGATGGAGAAAATAGAGAAAGCATAGAATATGTGAAGCAGGTTCAAAGGGACTACCAGGAAACTAAAAAGTCTATTGAAAACTGGCATAACAGCTTGAAAGGTACTAAGGACAGACTATCTGAACTTGAAGGCAGATTTGTAATATGGGAGAATGAAATGAAAAACTTCTTTAAAATAACAAAGAAACAAACAGCAATAATACAAAGACAAGAAGATGATAAGAGGATCCATAACTTAAGAATTAAGAACATAAAAGTAGAAGTAGGGACACAAACAAATGAACTACAAAAGCTACTCACAGAAATAATCCAGGAGAATTTTCCTAATTTAGCAAAAGGTAAAGATACTCAGATGTATGAGGCATACAGGACCCCAGCCACCTACAACCCAAACAGAGCAACACCCAGGCATATAATAATAACAATTCCAGAAATTCAATACAAGAACAGAATATTAAAAGCTGTCAGAGACAAGAAACAGACCACTTACAAGGGAACATCCATCAGAATTACAGCAGATTTCTCTGTACAAACCATCAAATCACGAAGAGCGTGGGGGGAAATAATTCAAGCTTTGAAAGATAATAATCTCCAGCCAAGATTGAGATATCCTGCACAACTGTCCCTGGAAATTGATGGAAAAACAAGGTGCTTCCAGGATAAAGAGGAACTCGGGGAATTTGCAACCACCAATTCAACTCTACAGAGAACACTGCAAGATATTCTAAAAAAGAAAAATACAAAAAATCCAGAAGTAGCGGCAGAGAGGCCACAGTGAATGGAGCAGAAAACAAAATGAAGAAGACAAACTGACAACTAATAACAGAAAAAGAGCTCAACAGAAATGAGGCAGAGAAGATTGGATGATAGGAACAGCTATTTTGGAGAAAATGACATCTTAATAGGTAATACTGATTTAGTATCATCTTGTTTTGAAGTCTCATCAAGCTTTTGGTTCTTCTGTCTCCATTGGTCTAAACAGGTTGTATCTTATTGGATTTTATTATGTATGATAGTATAAGTAAAAACTTTTAAAGACAAGGAGATTATACAGAAACCATTGTTCATTTTCTGTTAGTTGATTCTAAATACCCTGTAATGCTGTCATTCTCTTAAATGGTTTTACATTGTTTTGATATATTTAATGCTACAGTATACGAAGTTGTACTCAAGGATTTCAAGGAAAGAGACAATATGGTAACTACTTTTATGTCAGGATTATCTGGTGGTGAAACACTATTCTGCTTAAATGGTTATGTTTTGATCTGTGCTGTTTTGCTGTTATGCCCTCTTTTATCTCAATCTCCACTCCATTATTTACTTTTTTTATTTTTATCCTTTTAAATAAGGAAAACATAAATAAAAATAGCAGGATATATTATAGTAACCCACTTTGACTTTCCATTATCTTGATTTAAAGTCCTGTATTACTCTCACCATCTTGTTTTTGACTGATGTCCCCCTATTGTGTTTTGCTGGATAGTACCAGGTTCGAAAGTTTAGGCAACAGCTGTGAAGATAGTGAGATTCATTATGACGCCCATTCTGGTTGACTTTTATCTACTTTTGAAGACCTACAATGTCTTCAATGTTTTGGTTTTGTCGGTTTTGTTCTTTACTATTTTGTTCAATTTTATTATAACTGATGATATAGGCAATTCTATTAGAGATAGCGGGAGGCATTATGGTAACCATTGTTGATCACCTTGTATTATGGTTTTACATTATCTATTATGTCCACCCTTTTGATTTGACCGACTCTGCTCTGTTATGTCACATTTGGTTTCACTCTCTTCCAAAAAAGTAATGAGATCCATGGGAGCAATAAAACCCAAAATGTGTAATAGTCATTGTACAAAAGAGAGGAAAAGAAAGTGCTCTGAATGATATAACTGCATGTATATTTAAGTGTATAAGATAGAAAATGATATCACTGAGTTTTATTGGATCATTGAACAGAACTGTTTGCAGTATCATTGTTGGAATATCAACTTTACAAGCTTTAATTTTGTCACTTGAACAATTATCTCTAAGATGACAATATGTAATCCATTAACTAGTGATGTCCTACTGTTTATTTTTTTTCTGTAAATCTGTATAACTTATACCTTTCCTCTGCTTTTTTCTCCTTAAATAAAATTTAAAAGAAAAAAAGAGAAAGAGCAAAAATTTTATGTTGCATCTCAAGTTTATAGGTAAAGAGGCGGAAGGCAAGACTAAAACCCATATAAAGGAGGAAGTTATAAAGATCAGAGCAGAAATTAATGCAACTGACACTAAGAAGATAATACGGAGAACTAATGAAGTGAAGAGTTAGTTCTTTTAAAGACCTGGAATGGACTAATATTCTTCCTCTACACAACAAAACTCTGAGTGTGATTCTAACAAAGATCGGCTGGTTCAATTTCTGTCTGTCTCCAACTGACATGGAAGGCAAAACCCTCTTGTGTGCAGGACATATTGCATCATGCTGGGGCTTAGTTTTCTTTACTATGAATTCAGAGAGTTTCATTTAATTGCTTCTGTATGAGACAAAATCTGTAAATATTCTAGAGTCCTGATTCCAAGACAAAAATAGATTTTCAGTAGTAAACAATTTCAGAGGCCAAACAGAAGTTGTTGCCAATTCAAGGCTTACTTCGGGACCTTTTACAACTTATGTAATGGTGCTACTTGGTATAAAGAGACTTCTCGGTAAAGACCTGTTGACAAAGAAAAA